AGAGAGAGAGAGGGAGCGCGCGAGAGCTGTATTATAATTGGAATTCTTGGTGAGGAGGAAGTCAGATGTAAGACTGTTGGAGTGTCTTAATTACTGAGACACAGCTGCCTTTTCTTCTGCCCGTGGGAAAGGCCTGCTGTGGATTGGTGTTCTTGCCTTTGGGTAGGAATGGAAGCATGTGACATTGATGTTTTAGCCTGAAGATGTTTAAGGGCCCGTATTTTTTGTCTTCTAAATTCACAATTCGTGGATTCATTGTAATCCATGCATTTTCTGTTGGCACATCCAGTGTAACTGGTTAGGTTTGAATTTTCTTTGAATCACAGTTGAGTTAAATTTGTCTCTGTGAGGTTACACTTGGTTCTTCTGAATAGAATGTTGGATAATTTCTATAGGTGGCTGATCATGATCATAGATCTTTTTTTTTTTTAAATTCTCACTTGAGGATATGCGTTTATTGATTTGAGAGAGAGAGAGAGAGGAAGGGAGAGAGAGAGAGAGAGAGAGAGAGAGAGAGAGAGAGAGAGAGAGAGAGAGAGAGAGAGAGAGAGAGAGAGAGAGAGAGAGAGAGAGAGAGAGAGAGAGAGAGAGAGAGAAACATTAATGTGAGAGAATCATCTGTGGGTTGCCTCCTGTATACCACCTAACTGGGGATCGAACCTGCAACCTAGATCTGTGCCCTGACTGGTACTAAAACCCACAACCTTTTGGTGAATGGGACAACGTTCCAACCAACTTAGCCACCCGTAATGCCATGATCATAGTTCTTTATAATTTCATTCTCAGAGAGTTAAAGTCCATACATATTCAAGGTGGCTGGTACTCTGGTGTTGGTTATATTGCTGTCTATGTTTTTAGAAATTTAAAAAATTATCAAATTTAAAATAGAGTCCATTTGTGAAGAAGATCTTTTTGAAAACTATAAAAGATCTCTTCTATTTGAATAATCTGTAGGCCATAATCTCTGGTTTCAAGTAGGGGAAAAGGGCAATTAAAATATTTAAATTAAAATAACTATATGATAGGGTGTTATATATGTTATTATTCATAGGAACAGTGTCGGTAAGATGCTAGATGTGGGAGAGACATACATGTGATATATGAAAGGTAAGTATTGGAAAACTAGGTGAGGGATCATTTAGGCTAAGCGTTGGAAAATGTAGGGTGAAGAATAAAAGTGTAAGGGATAGGACTTAGCAGCCTGGACAGTTGTATCCATCCATCCTTGCCTATATAGTGTGTGTGTGTGTGTGTGTGTGTGTGTGTGTGTGTGTGTGTGTGTTACTTGTAGAAGAATAATTAGTTTTTATTTTATTTTGTTAGGAAGGAAGTGAAGGACAGGTATTAGTTATTGGGGCCACAAATCGTCCTCATGCTTTGGATGCTGCACTCCGCCGACCTGGACGATTTGATAAAGAGATTGAGATTGGAGTTCCTAATGCTCAGGACCGGCTAGATATACTTCGGAAACTGCTTCGAAAGGTACCGCATGAACTCACTGAAGCCGAGCTGCTACGGTTAGCAAACAATGCACATGGATATGTTGGAGCAGACTTGAAAGCCTTGTGTAATGAATCAGGTGAGATTGATTTGCTATATAGTTATATGTGTTGTTGGACTTAATAACTCTGGCTTATTTGCATACTGATCATTTATATCTCATTCCTTAATGAAAATAGGTTTAATTCCTAATCATAAAGTATACATTTATTGAAAAATGTCTAGATAATTCAGGAAATTATAAAAAATAAAGAAAAATCACCCTTAACTGTACCTCCTAAAGATAACCACTATTATAGTATACTAGGAGCCATGTGCGTGATTCTAAATTGAACGGCGCTGCCCAACCTGGAGTCGCCAGTTCGGCCCTGCCTCCCTCTCCGGCCCTTTAAGCAGGTGTGGCTGCTGCTGATTAGGACCTCCCCCAGGGCAGGCATGCAGAGGCCCCTCAACCTCCTCCTGTCCGGTTGACCTGTTACGGCGTCCTGGTTTATTTGCATATTTCTCTATTATATATAGAGATATGCTTTCAGACTTTTCTTAAATTCACACTCACACACATACACCCACACAGGAATGTGTAACCGGATTCATTAATGGCAGTGTTAATGACGGCAGCATTTATTAACATTATGCTATGGAAATTAGGGAACCTGCAAAAATCATAATTTTTCTTAAGAATCAGCTTTGTATTTGTTGAACTGCTATAAAAGTACTTAGTGAAACCAGAGTTCTATGCCTCAGAGTATGTGGTAGTGATATTTAAAGTGATATTTAAGTCTGAAAACTTAAGGGCATTATTATTCAGTTGGCTCTTTGACTTTAAGAACTTCACCATGGCATAACTGTAGTTACTTTGGGAAACCCTTAATACGTTTTCATATTTGGGCAATTTTTCAGAGTAATTTCAACCAATAAAAGGTATTCCAATTTGGGCAATTTTTATAAGCTATTGAAATATTTATAAGCTTACTGGCAAGTAAGAATTTATTGAAAAATATCTGCTGGCCTTTTTTTTTCTTCCTGTATTTAGTTTTTGGTAATCTCTAAAGGCTGGGCGCATATCTCAAAACATCTCTGGTTTGCCAGTAATCTTATATTCTTACATTTATTTCTTTTTCTGATATGGGCATTTGTTTCTAAGTCCTTTCATATTTTGGAGGAATTTTTTTCAGTTGTTGATTCTCTTCTTGTAGTTTGTGACCTATCCAATATTTTAAAAAAAGTTTAACTCTTGCCCTCACTGGGTGGCTCAGTTGGCTGAAGCGTTATCCCATACACCAAAACGTTGCAGATTGAATCCCCAGTCTGAGCACATACCTAGGTTGCCAGTTCAAGCCACATTCGGGAAGCATTCGATTGATGCTTCTCTCTCACATCGATGTCTCTCTCTCTCCCTTCATCTCTCTCTAAAATCAGTTAAGAAATATATCCTTGGTGAGGATTAAGAAAATAATAATAATAATTATAAAAAGTTTAACCTTTGAGGTAATGGAAAAAATTGAATTTTTGAGTTGGAATTTTAATTATTTTAGAACTTTAGTATAGAAATATGGTTACTTTTACCTCTAAGTCATTGATTCATAGCTAATCTAAAGTTGGCTTTGAATACCCTTCCATTAGTGCATTGGTTCTTCTGATCTGGCCATATTGCATGTATGAAAAGAGCTTGGAGAAGGAAAAATGAGTGGGAAAGGAAAACTTGGAAGATATACTTAGGAGTTTTTCAATATCTTACGTTTGGTGAAGAAAGTCAGTTTTATTTTATTCTATTTTATCATTATGATTTCCATGAAAAGGACTCACAATAGGGGGAGACTACAGGTTATGTAGACACAAGGCAAATATAAATATTCTTCTGGTACATACTGGTCTAGGACAAAGCCTTTTCTGTCTAGTTTTAGAGGTGCTGGTGTACAAAATTCGTGCATGGGGAAGGAGGGGTCCACTCAACCCAGTCTGCACCCTCTCCATTCCAGGACCCCTTGAGGGATGTCCAACTGCTGGTTTAGGCCCGAACCTGGCCCAGCAGTTGGACATCCCTCTCACAATCTGGTAATGTCCCCCCTGTGGGCCTGGTTGCCCCACACAGCCTGCTGTTTGGTCATTTGGTCGCCTCTCACTAATCCCCCTGCCGGCTTAGTCACCCCACGCAACCTGTTCGGTCATCCGTTCGGTTGCGATGGTCGCTTAGGCTTTTATATATAGACTGGAGGCCCGGTGTGCAAAAATTTGTGCACTTGGTGGGGGGAGGGGTGTCCCTCAGCCCGGCCTGTGCCCTCTCGCAGTCTGGGACCCCTCAGGGGATGACCACCTGCTGGCTTAGGCCCGCTCCCCAGGGGATTGGGCCTAAGATGGCAATGAGACATCCCTCTGGCAGCCCGGTAGCCCTCGGGGGATGTCCACTTGCCAGTGGGGAGCAGTGCTAAACTGCAGTCGGACATCCTTAGCACTGCGAGGAGGCAGGAGCGGCTCCCACCACCACCGCTGTACTGGCCGCCCTCATCCTGGCTTGTGGCTGAGCAGAGCTCCTCCCATGTGAGAGCGACCTGACTACTAGAGGGCAGCTTCTGCATTGAGAGCCTGCCCCCTGGTGGTCAGTGTGTGTCATAGTGACCAGTCATTCCCAGTCTTTCTGCTGTTAGGGCCAGCTTGCATATTACCCTTTTACTATATAGGACAGAGGCCTGGTACACGGGTGGGGGCTGGCTGGTTTGCCCTGAAGGGTGTCCCGGATCAGGGTGGGGGTCCCGCTTGGATGCCTGGCCAGCCTGGATGAGGGGCTGATGGCTGTTTGCAGCTGGTCACATCCCCTTCAGGGTGGGGGTCCCCACTGGGGTGCCTGGCTAGTCTGGGTGAGGGACTGAGGGCCATTTTCAGGCTGGCGGGGGACTGAAGCTCCCAACCTCTCCTTTTTTTCTTTTTTTTTTTTTAATTCTGGGATTTATTTACCTTCTATGGCTGTCACTGGAACTGAGAGCTGGCTTTAGCTCTGAGACCTCGGCTGCTGAAAGCAGGTATCTGGGTTTGTTTGGGTTCTATAATTGTAACACTGTTGTGGTCCTGCTTGCTCCAGCTCTGATGGCTGAAAGCAGGTTTCTGGGGTTTGTTTAGGTTCTATAATTGCAACATTGTTTCTTAGAGTACAAGCTCAGAGGCTGGCAGCGGCAGGCGGGGACCCTTGGCTTCCTCCATCACTGGAGCAAGCAAGCCTCCTGTTCGCTTCAGCTGCCTGGCTGCCGGCCGCCATCTTGGTTCGCAGTTAATTTGCATATCTTGCTGATTAGCCAATGGGAAGGGTAGCAAAGTTACGGTTAATTACCATGTTTCTCTATTATTAGATAGGATGGTGGTTTTGTCCATGGAACTGAATTATCTAGTGACCAAGAAGGAGATGTATCAGTGGACAACTTTGTTTCCTTCATTCCATTAGGTGATAATGAAGTGTCTGGGTTACAGGCGTATCTCATTTTGTTGTGCTTTGCTTTTTCGCACTTCACAGATGTGTTTTTTTACAAATTGAAGGCAAGCTCCTTCAGCAAAAGGATTGCCACTTGCTTTATTGAGATACTGGCTTTATTGGGGTGGTCTGGAACTGAACCTGTAGTATTTACATAGGCTTTGCTTTGGACTTGCCCATCTAGGCAAGGAGTCATTCTTCAACATCCTTTATCAAATAGTTTCTGACTTTCTTATGTACACACTCTAGGCAGCTCTTGGTACATGATAGAAGGATGAGATTTGTAAACACACAGTGAGGTACATACTCAAAAAGCTATGGAAAATGTAGTGACTTCCCTTTGGGGAAAGGAAATGCTCTGGTTATATAGCAAAAGTGACATCTGAAAAGAAGCCTAAAGAAAAAGTAAAAGAGTTCTACAGGCAGAATGAGGGCATGAGAAGGTGTGGAAGAGAAAACAACACCCTTTCCTCCAATCCTTACACCAGCCCTATGATCTGAGTATCATTGGCTCAAGAGGTCTCAGCTGGTATGTGTCAGAGCTGGGGTTTAAACTCTAATCTATTCATCTTACTCTAAATCCATGTTTATAATTAATTCATATAACAGACTTTTGTTAGAATGGTATAAGGCTTTTAAATTTGCTTTATATATGAAACTAAGGGAAGGATCAATATATATACAGCAGAAAATATCCATATTTTTTCACATGTAAGTATAGTCCAGAAATTAAGTTGTATCCTGAGACTTTCAGGAGAGAAGTGAAAATGTAAGTCACATACCAGATGTCAATAGGACCATCTACTTTCACAGGCACTTTACTACCCCAAGAACTTTAGGGAAATGGCAAGAAAATTTGAGAAATTCTAGTCCTTACAATCTTACATTTAATTGAAAAGGCTGTGAAAGGATCAGAGATGGGGAGGAGAGAAGCCTCTAACCTAAAGATAAATAGATACCTTAGAGTTGCACACAAAATTAGAATCATTGTTTTATTAATAAAGATTCCTGGTGGCACCTTGATATTTGGGAGCAATATTCATGATTTCTGGTACATAATAGGTGCCCAAGAAGTATTTGATCTGAAACTGGGAGACATGATTACCATCCTACTCCCCTAGATAAAATGTTTATTAACCTCAGAGTTGAGTTTTGGTTTTAGCCCTCTGGTGAGCTTCATCTCCTCTCCTCTGCTGCCTTCAGAAATGCTTGCTCTGTGCAGAGGAAACAGTGGTTACTGTTTATAGGAGCTATAAACAAGGTGGACTTGCTCTGTGCTCCCTCTTATAATTGCTGCTGTTCACTTGAGCATTTCTAGTCCTTATTGACTTTCCACGGATAAGGTTTCTCAGCTGCTTTAAAACAGTGCTTTTCAGGAGGCATTTTTCATCGTTCAAAATCATGCTGTGCTTAAATGGACAGCTTGAGAATGCCCACTGGCATATCTGGGAAGTATGGCATATTGACCTTCAGATCTGTGAGATTTATTCCTCTCCACAGGATCCTAGTTCCTTTCACATGTTCCCAATTGGAGCAGAGGTTCTCAGACATTATGTGGTCAGAATCATCGGAAGAAATTAGTAAATAGATGGCCAGTGTGCCCCACTTCCTGAGTTTCT